GCCAGCCGGCAGCCCGGGAGCTTCTGGGTCCCCCCGGCCAGAACTAACCGGGCCCCGCCCAGGCCAGCTCCAGAGCCCGGCCGGGGCGCTCAAGGCCTCCTTGGGCCCACGCAGCTCCTGGCGCCTCTGTGCATGTGTCCTGGCCCTGGCCCTGGCCCTGGCAGCCACTGCCGCCCTGTCCTTCCAGGCTCCCGGATGTCCGTCCAGCCGTCTCCATCCAAGGACTAAAATGTTGGGAGCCCGTTTGCGTTTCGTTTCGTTTCATTCCTTTTCATTTTAATCAGAGACCGCGAGACTCCGGCCGTCTGTGCAGGGCGTAAATAGTGGCGCCCGCTGTTCTGGGTTCGCCTTATTGCCGCACTCCTTCTCCAGCGGCCCTTTAGGGCTCCTCTGAGCCACCTCCTTCTCTCCTGATCCGTAGCCCCCCTGCTTTCGCTCGCCTTTCCCCATGATCCATCCATCCATCCATCCATCCATCCATCCATCCATCCATCCATCCATCCCTCCCTCCTCCTCCTCCCCTTCTCTTTCTTCTCTACCTCCTCTTCCTCCTTTTCTTTTTCTCCTCCTCCTCCTCTTCTCCAGCACTCCTTCTCCTCCTCCTCCTCCTCTATCAACTTCTCCTTCTTCACCATTCCTCTTCCTCCTCTCCCTTCTGTACCACTCCTCTTCCTCGTCCTTCTCTACCACTCTTCCTTCTCCTCCTCCTCCTCCTCCTCTTCTTCTTCTCCTCCTCTCCTACCTTTTCTTCTCTTCCTCCTCCTCCTCCTCTTCTCCACCACTCCTTCTTCTCCTTCTCCTCCTTCTCCTTCTCCTCCTCCTTCTCTACAACTCCTCTACCACTCTGCCTTCTCCTTCTGTACCAGTCCTGCTCCTGCTCCTGCTCCTCTACCACTCCTTCTCCTTCTTCTCCTCCTACTCTTTGGCCTAGAGATGAGCAGCGATGAAAGCCTTTATGAGGCTTGGGGAGGGCAGCCACTCAGCAAAAGAGGAATAAAATGAAAAGCAGCAGAAGGGGAAACAGGCCTGAAGGAAGCGATCTGAGAGAGACCCCCAGGCTGAAGGCTCCGCACTGAAAACAGCTCGCCATCAAAATGGAGCCGAACCCCCAGTGCCCAAGAGCGGGGCCAGGACGGCCTCGTCCTGCCATGCGCACCCGCAAGGGTGAGCTCGGGAATTGCCGTTTGCCCTGTCCTAAGGCTGAGCAAAGAGCGTGATGCGGCGGCCAAAAAAGGCCCCAGCGATTTCGGGCCGCGTTACCAGAGCCGTAACGTTCAGGTCGTGAGAAATAACAGCGCTGTTTTCTTTGTCTGGGTGAAGCGGCATCCAAATCATATAACGCGCCTTGTCTGGGCCACGGTGTCCGGCGGTCCTACGGCTTCTAAGAGGCCCCCGCGGTCTCCCTGCGGGACGCGGTCGTCAGGGCCCTGCGGGAGCCACCGAGCCCGCCCAGAGACGTCTCCCCGGCCGAGACACGGCCCAGCCTGCGCCCGCGTTCGGAGCAGAGCCTCTCCGAGACCCTGGCTTGCTGGGGGGTTGCGTGGGGGGCCCCTGCCTGGCAACCACCCAGCTCTCCGTGTCTGTTTGCAGACGGGCCGCGTGGACAAGAACGTTCCCCTGGTGACGGGGCACACGGCCCCGGTGCTGGACATCGACTGGTGCCCCCACAACGACAATGTCATTGCCAGCGCCTCCGAGGATACAACCGTCATGGTAAGTCCCGTGCCAGGGACGTCGGCCGCCCTTCGGAGGTTTCTCGTGTTTCGCCTCTTTCGTTAGTAGGAAATGGAGTAGAGCTGGAGGGGCTGAGGACAGTTTGTCTGGTTCAGGCACACTGATCGCATCGTGGCCGCCATCTTGACTTTTCTGACACACCCTGCTGCAGTTGCTGCCTAATTTAGAAAGCACTCCTGCGAGGCCCTGGGTGCTGGGCGGGGAGGTTTTTGGAAGCCAGTGTAAGAAAAAGGGTTTAACGGAAGGGGCCGGGGAATGGCTGGCTTTTCTTATGGGGCCAGTTGTGGGGCTGGCTCAAATCGTTTTCACATAGGGTTAGGATTAGTGCAGGAACGGGGTGGAATTTCCTCAGTTTTTATCTGGCATCCTTTTACGTGGTCCCAATTCAGAGGCTTCCCAGGCGTAAGATCTCTTTGGAAAGCACTTTCTCATCCACGTTTTGAGGTGGGGCATTTTTTCCCCTTTCCCCTTCCTTTTCCTTTTTTTTATAGTAGTTTCCACCCCGCCTTTCCCAGGCTGGTGCCTTCGAGATGCATCGGACTGAAAGAACATCAGTCTCTACCCATCGGCGGGTCTGTTTTTACGGATTCAGATTTCTTTAGATTTTTTTTATCCCACTTGTATTATTTTTATAAATAACTCAAGGCAGAGAACGTGCCTCCTCCTATTAAGATTGTGATTATCAGGTGTATAACCTGCCATCCCTTCATTTTAGCCTCAGGACCACAAGGTTGCTCGGGCTGCAGGAAAGCGACTGGCCCGGAGTCGCCGGTGACCTTCGGTGGCTGAAGGGGGCTGACCTCCCCATTCGCACCCAGCACCCTCTGCCCTGCGCCGCGCTCTTCCTCTGCTCTCTGCTGGGCACAGAGAGTTTCACCTGCAGAAATGTTCAGGAGAAAACCACAGGCAGCTTTCCCTTTTCCCCAGGGGCTCCCAAAGTTGCTGAGCCAGCCGCCCTCTCCCACCTGAACAAGGGCCCAGGGACTTTTTCCAAGCTCCCGAGGAGCGTGGCGCCGGAGCGTCGCTGCAGAAGAGTAAACCGAGCTAGTCGGCGCTCCATTTCAGGGGCAGCAAAACGCAAGGCGCAGGGCTTCCGGCTGCCCGGCCTAGCTTCGGGTCTGCGGCCCCTTTGCCCGCTCGCTCGGGAGAGAGGGAGAGGACGTCCCTTTCGATCGCTGGCAGAGGCTGGCCCCGGGCGTCGGACCACAGCCCTGTGCTGGAAGCTGGCACCCCTTCCCTGGGGATGAGGCAGCACTTTGAGCTAAGAATAGCGCCAGGGACTCAGCACCTAAGAATAGACCGTGCGGTGCTGGAGGGGAGGAAGGAGGCCGAGGGGAGGAGGGAGGGACAGCTCTCCCCGCCAACCTTTTCCCCTGCCCCCCCCCCGCC